TCCCGCTCATCCCCCTCTGCCGTTTAGGGGCTGCTGAGCCAGCTGGTGCCCCCTGCCAGGGGTCATCGCCATGGGGGTGAGGGTGCTGCAGCCCCAGGTTTGAGCAGCGATTGCCGCTTTGGCCGGTTGCGTTTGGCGTGCCTGCCTTTGGGTCACCTCGGCCAGCGGGAAGTTTCACAGCGCCTTCCCTGGCGCTCTGGGTGGATGACGAGCCCCTCGCTCCTGCCTCTGCCTTGAGGCCCGGGTGGCAGCTCTGCGTGCCAGGACTGCCCAGGCCCAAGGGAGAGCTTAGCTGGAGTACATAGCGCCATATCCACCTTTGCCAGGGGTGGACCAGTGATGGCACCGCTGATACCGAGTAGGACCAACAGACACCCCTGTAAATCCACATTTTAGTCTACTGCATAAGGTAAAAAAAACTGTAAGTGGGCTGCCAGGACCACTTCTCATCCCTGCTGCTTCCTGTGCTTTCCACTCTGTACAAATCCATCACAACACAACTGGCAGCAAGACAGGCTGACTTCACCCTAACCAGGAAGAAGCAGAGCTACAATACAATTTATCTGCTGGTAAAAGAGGGTACGATTCTGCTGGAGGCACTGCCTCAGCCTGTGGTGCATTTAATAAGAGTATGTGCAATGAGGCAGTCCTTTCTGCTTCAGGACAAAGGTATGGCAATGATAGAAAAACATAGCTTCAGATAGTAGGAACTATCGAAAAGCGAAAGAGTTTTCATTAAAATGCAGAGACTGACATCAAACTGAACTCCAGCGCTTTCAGTGAAAGACATCGACCTGGACAAGGTGATCCACTAGTTCAAATCTTAACATTTATCACAGTAATATATGTAATCATTTGGAAGCCTATGTTTTAAGGAACAAACATTACTTTGCCACGCTGTGAGACTGCTTAGTCTCACTCTCCAATTAGGAGACTGCAGGAAAAAGCAATTCATAATCCAGGTCTTCTTGTAGCTGAGGGCTCCAAAAATTAGAAACATGTCCCTGTCCTGACCTCAGATAATCTGTCAGCTTTCCAAAATGTGGGCTGGATAAAATGCCAACCAATCTGGGAGGAGGAGGTTACAATAATTAAGATGACAGATGAGTCAGGTGTGGGAAGAGTGTTACAGCAATGGGATCAAAAAGGAACTCGTGGATTTAGGTGACAGTGATATCAATCTATTTAATTTTCCTGGTCGGCCTCAAGGGATTGGGAGTAAATTTCCAAGCACTAGGCAGCAAGAGAATTTCAAGATAATGCTTTTAGCCAGTTGTCCTTGCCTTGACCCTTAGAGACTCTTTGCAACTGGCACATCTCTTTTGTGCTTGAGCCCTTTTTCTGAAGACAGCTGGACATGGAAGTGTTTGATGTAATGCTCAGCACCCTTGGTGGGGGTGGGAGTGGACACTCGTGATGGCATGGTTGGATTAGTGATTGCAAGGAGACCTGCTGGGCCTGGAACGATCAAGTGGGAAACAACGAGCCCCAAATGAGGATTTACAGTTTGGAGCTGCAAACAGTCCATTGCCTATTTTGTCAGCTGGGGTCCCTGCCTGCACTGCTGGCCTGCTCGTGACAATACAGAGTCCCAACTAAGATTTGGAAGTCAGATCCTAAATTACTGTGGCCTGTGCCCCTAGACTTGCCTGTCACCTCCCGAAAGCCCATTAAATCCACTCTTTTTTCCCCCTTCCTATTGTAAATCTCACCTCTCCAAATGAGAACCCCAATCTCAGGCACTAAACTCCTCTTCCCTACCCCTGCACCTCCCGTACCCTACCCACAAGCCTGGTTCTCCCACTTCTGTCCTTGTCTGGGAGAGCAAATCCTGGCACTGCCACAGGCAGGACGTGGAGCAGGTTATTATGCATTAAGTGCCTTGTGGCTGACTGTCATGCATAGCTTCTCATTGTCTCATATATGCAGTGACATCAGTCCAAAGACTGCAGTTAATGCGCACTGGCTGGTGCACACTCCTTTATTGGGGTGGGGTGAGCCTGGCTAGACTTGTGGCATCCTTGGCAGTATGGGACTCGAAACCTCCCTTGTGCTCAGTCTGCAGACAGTGGGTCTCATTTAGCCATGACACAGCAATCCCTTACAGCAATTGTTCTCTCTCAGGCTCTGCCACTTCCTGAAAAACAGTTTAATTAAAAGCAAGCAAAGTTTTGGTCACTCTTGAGGGCACAGCCCACACTGGGGATATGACACACTGTGGCAGCGTCTCAGGGTTACGTGCACTGCCAAATGACCTGTGCAAAGGGGTAACATTTCAAAGCTACATTTTTAGTGTGTTCTTTGTTCCGGTGGCATGACAGTTTGGGTCTATTTTACACTTACAGGTTCCATTCATCTTTTGAATCCTTGCATATGCTACAGCCTTCAGAACGGATTAAATCTTCCATTTTATGGCAAGAAGCAGACAATGCCTGAGAAACTGAAATGAGGCCATTAACGGCAATAAACAACTGAACAGTTGTGCCGGGCAGGGGGCAGGACAATGGAGGCTGCCAGCTGAGCCATTGACTGCTCCTCTGGCCAGTCCTCCTGGGGTGGGAATGGAAAAATGCCAAGAGACACAGTGAAGGATCACAAGGTGCTAAAAGTGATTTTAGACTCTCTAGCAAAATGGTCCCCATGAATGACAAACCACATCACAGAGCCCGCTCCGGGATGTGGGGAGTAGGGGGAGCAAGGAGGGAGCTGGAGTAGTTGAGATCCTCTCCAGGACACAGACCAGGACCAAAAGACTGTTGGGAGGGGGGAAAACAGCAGGGGTGGGAACGAGAAGGCTTTTGGGGGGCACTGCTTGTTATCTTTCCTGAGATCTATGAGAATCAAGTGTGATTCTGTTAACAATTCTTTAGCTAAGAGCAAAGTGCTCCCGGCTTTAAGTTAGCTAGTCCCTGAAGATCAAACTGTGGACTGGCACTGGTGGAAGCTGGGAACTTGCAGGGAATGAACATCAGAAACTATTAGGAA